AATATATTAGGAAAAACATCATTCTCAAATAACAAAATCCAGTTCACCCTATATTAGTTATTATATGATCCTACTAGAAACTATACCCTATTTCAATCAAATAGATTATCTCAAGTATTAAAAGTAGTTCCATCACAAATCAGTCTCCTTCCACAAATAAATAGATATGAAAATCTGAGAAAAGAAAAACAAGTTCTCTTGCTAGGCAATCATATGAACTGGCAAATAATTACAAGGCAACAGATATCAACTTCACTTATTTTCAAACCTGTAAAAGTGAAAATTTAGATAGAAAACTGGGAAGCTGTGCTAATAAGACAAGCCATCCAATCAGACAAACATATAGAAAAACTTACAAATATCCTATAATACAATAGAAGAATATGGTTAATCCGCTTACTTTTTATATAGATGACTCCTATAAAAAATAAATAAAAGATGGTGAACTTGAAACGGGTTTTGCTTGGATCCTAATAGAGAATGGCAAAGTTGAAAAACAATTTTCAGTAGGGGCATTGACATGGCTATTGACAACTAGGACAGAAATATTGACCATTCTTATTGTACTATTCACTGTTCCTCAAAACACAATAGTCTTAATCTTTACTAATTGTAATATTGCAGTTAAAACATGGAAGTCTATCAGTTCACAAATAGAGATATTAATAAGAAGATAGATAAAGACTATCAACTAGTCAATATGGAGTAAGATCAAAGATCTAGTAAAAAAAAAGATCTTATCTTGAAAATTACAAAGGTTAAGACTCATAGAATCAACAAGTTCAATAATCAGGTACAGTAAATCTATTTGCTAAATAAACTAGACATGAGAATCTAATAATCTGAAAAGTTAGAAAAGTCCTTATAATAGCTATATGGAGTGAATATACAATAAAGATTAGTATTAAAGAATTTGTTAAAACATTTAACAAAAAAAAATCAGAAAAGACTAGATAGCACAGAAAAGGATTTAAAAGCTATAGATCCAAAAAGATAAAATAATAGATTGGTTAATCTTCTGGAATTAATTCAATCTATCTAACACCTTCGATACTTCTTTAAAAACTAATAAAAATAAAAGCTTTCTAATTAATTTAACCCATAATGAACTTCCAATACTATAGATACTCAAAAAAATGAAACCAGATATTTACACTATAATGACTTGTCCAGTATGTAAACTTTAAGAAGAAATATTAGAATACATTTTCAAATATTTGATCATCAAAAAAGCCAGAGAATACATATGGTGAAAAGCAAAGAAAAAATTAATCATTACTTCTATAAAGAAATTAAAGATAAAAAAGAAGTTTACCCTACAACTGATAATTGAACAAGTAAATAACTAAACAAGATCCAGTAATCTAATAGAAGCCTTTTCAATACTATTTGTAAATACACAAAAGAAAATAAAACCATCTTTTTGAAGAACTATCTCAAAACACAATTTAAAATTTCTTCAGCATCTATACAAAACATAATCAATAAGCTTTGTTATAAAATAAGGAAAAACTTCAAAGAGAATCACTAGTCGAAAAAAAATTATTCAGCATACTGCCACTCAACATTCGGTAAAAAATACTACCACTCATGTAACATTTGACAAAAAATAAATAATTCAGCAAAAAAAATGACATATATTTTGATAATATCATTGATGATTAAAAGAATTGATTGATACTCTGATCCTATCTACTCTTCCAATTGGATTAATCTATAGATCAAGTTCAATAAGACCAATAAGATATAAACAACAAGTCCCTAGGTAATAAAAAAGCTACTTTTATTTAAGCTGTGATTTTTTTCTCCTATTATCTTGATCAGGTAAATTCAAAATTACACTCTTCTTTTTATCCCAATTAAGCAATAAAACTAAATGGTCTCTAGCCTATATTAAGCTTCAACCCTTTAGTTATATATTTCCTCAAAAGTTGTTGAAGGATATTATAATCAATAAGGATCCCTATTACTATTTGAAACCTTCCTATCATTATAAGATAAAAGGATTGTTGAGGAATCTGATCTTTTGAGTAATAAAAAATGTATACTAGTAAAATTCCTTTAACTAGGCATGACTACTGGAAAATATTATACTGAAACAATATGCTTCAGTTCCTACTGGATCATATAAGAATCTGGGTTCACCATAAGTCACCTCTCTATTACAGGTGAATAAAAAATCACTGCCCATATGCCAAAAAAGTGGAACTTGGAAAACATATCAATGCGATGATAAATGAAGAAAAGGAAAAAAGCTTCTCTACCCCTAATACTAGAAGCAATAACGAAGACGATGATAGGATCGAAATTTTCTACAACCCAAAAAAGGTCAGTTAAAGGATATATAGATGGTTTGGTATGGACTTTATATATATCTATTTTTTTTTATGATATTTTGAGGTGAGATCGCCAAATTACTATTGTCGGCATAGTGAGGAGAGAAGGCTTACCGTGGTTTAGACCACTGAGCTATGAGACAAGAAATAATTTGTATGTTAATCTGCCTCATATTTTATTGTAAAATAGCTTTAAAGAGTGCTTCGCTTTGCGTATTTTTTTTTTTTTTTTTAAATAATATGATGAGGTGAGATCGTCAAATTACTATCGTCGGCGTAGTGAGGAGAGAAAGATTACACAGGCTTACCATGGTTTAGACCGCTGAGCTACGAGACGAGAAATAATTTGTATGTTTATCCGCCTTATATTTTATTGTAAAATGGTTCTATAAGATTGCCTTTCCAAGACGTGTGGCTCAACTTCTAGTGATAATTTATATTCCCATTGTTATTTTAAAGCATAAAACTCAGCTAGAGACTCGCCAGTTAACGGAAAATGAAGCTCGTCAATATATTGTATCTCGCTGGATTTCCGAAGATTTTCTTGCCAGCGATCTTAAACCGAGTAAAATTTTACAACCTACTACCTTTTTGAATCCTCAGCTTACCTTTCTCGAAAAGTTTCTTGAAAAGAGACGGCAGAGACAAGTTGTTCGTCAGTTACTTAACCAGGGTTTACTTCCATCTAATGCTATAAAAACTGGTACCTATATACTCGATTTTGCTGTACTATCCAATCACCATCTCGAAGTACTTTCGAATGTAATACAGGAGAATTTATATGAAGATGATGCTAGAAAGAAGTCTTTACCGCCCCAAAGCATTCAAACGATTCCAACTTTTTCAGAGGTACCCCAAGAGTTCATGTCTTTGCTTGAATCAGAGATCTTTATTCTAGATGGACCAGCAGATCAAGTGGGACGTATCCATATCAAGGATCTTAACAACGTTAAGCCTGAATACACTTCAGATTCTTCAGGAAAAAAACAATTGTGGACAGAATTCGCCTTATGGGCATGTTTTTTCGCTGGACCTAATTTTAATCAACACTTTCGTCACCATTGTCGTCGTCTCTGGTCCCAAGTGAAATGTATTTACCGCCATGTGAGGGCCCAAGAGAAGCCGTTAGAAGGACGCAATATCCACGAGACATTTCTGCGCCACCCGAGTGATAAACTTTACATCGCTAAAGAAACAACAAAAATCGTCGCAAGTGGTATTAATCTCCAGGGGTATCAACATGTTTTTAATCCACAATGTTTTACAAATACTTTTGAGGAAACTGTGGTTGATTTTTTTGATCTTGATAAGATGTTTGCAGGTAATGCGAAAGCAGCAGTAGAAAATTACTATAAACATACGATCGATAATCCCATGCACCAGTCCAAGTATTTCAAAGCGGATTTGGTAGAGCACTTCGGTTGTTTCTCAGATAGTAACAATATACCTTATACCACTTCAAACACCACTTCCTCTCACCATAAAGCGCATCTGAAATGTGTTAAAGGATTAATTCAAGGGCTTCAACCGCTCTCTAATTCTATCAATAACTATCTCGAGAACACATACCCAGCATTATATAACAAGTTGAAGAAGCTCGATCTTGGTCCGAACGTTTCGAAATCATTTGGAGCTTTTCCTACGGTCACCATTAATTTTAATGTGATCTGCCAATTTCATCGGGATATGAAGGATCACCGAAATACTCTTTGCGTGGTTTGCCCGCTTGGAGAATTTAAAGGTGGAGAGTTGGCTTTTCCTGAATTAAAATTAGTTGTGCATATGAAGCAAGGACGAGCCGTGGCCTTTAGATCGAACCTTTTGATTCATGGAAATCTCCCAGTCATTGCTGGAGTTCGACACAGTGTTGTATTTTATATCCATAATACCGCGATCAAACAAAAACGGAAGTTTGGCTCTCTTTTCGCTGATTACGACTTGGGCTGGGATAGTAATAGCAATGAGGACGAGTCATCACCGAAATTAGGTTCTGGAAATAACGTATCGAAACCAAAAAATCATAGGCGAACACATATAGGTATGTACGATATTTATATGCGATGAGTTAATATTTATATCTTTTTATCATATTATACTCATGTATTTGTACATTAAAAGATATAGAGGGTGCAAAGAAAGGTTTACCAGCACATTATAAGAAATAACATTTTCATGATTGATTTAAATGTAGAATTTATAGTCACTCGATGTCTGTATCAAGCAATAGAAATTTATTATGATTTTCTTATTTTCTTTGGTACTACCAAATGTTTTGCTAATGTTAATATATCACTAATTATCTTGGATCAAATAAAGATTCTCGTTTGTAAATACTTTTATCAATTATACTAAAAATAGATCGTACTAAATCTGATAGGTATAGGCACAAAGTGACTGCTTTCAACAAATCCTTAAATTCGATACAAATCATAATCTCTTATGATCAATAAAATGAGTAAATGAAGAACGGATGAATATTTAAAGATACTTTAAGTTCGTACTGATGGAGCTCCTATTACCGAAAATATCGTTATCTTTTTATTTTATCATGCAAAATTGTTATCGTCTATAATTCCTATATCTCCTTAACCCCTCTGCCATACTATCCAATAACCTATTCAACCTATTATAATCCTCACACATTTCCCTTATAATTCTGTCCAATCCCTGAAAGGACGAGTAAGGATCTCTCTTGAAAAAGTTCTAGAAGTTCTGTGACGTACTGGTCTTCTGCCTAACATATCTATTATGAAAGAAAAATGATGGTAGTAACGTACCGGGCAAACAAAAGGAAAACAAAAGGAATATATCCACTCTAACGAAAGTGCAAATCCGAGGCTTAAAGAAAAAAAAAGAAATAGGCATGCTGTCTATTGTCTTGTCTGCTGAAATACGAGACTCGTTAACTCATATTTTATGCAGGAAAGAAAACCTATAGGGTAAAAAAAGTAAAAACAAAAAGAGGTTTTCACAACAAAAAAACAGCACGATTTCCAGCCTGATGAATCTGCAGTGAATATATGTTTAAAAAAGTAATTAAAGTAAAACGATAGGTACCTAAGTAGTAAAGGTTGAATAAAATTTTGCGATCTTTGAAGGGACTATTTTATATTAAAAAAAATTATTAAAAAAGCGCGTAAAATACTTGTAAATATCAACACAGGTCAATCCTCGTGTCAGTAGCAAATTATTATTTATAGAACAATGAAAATTCATACCCTTCACACGGTACAATTCCCAAATAGGAAGGAAATCATTCGTGAAACTCATACATAAATGTAGATCATCTAAAAAATTATGTCATCATTCAAAGTCATCTCATCTTACACTGGTAAATAACGGTATGCAAAATAATAGAGAAAATACTCACGTGAAACAAATTCCAAAATTTCAAGATTTCTCAGGCAATAAATAAGAAGGAATTCTTCAATATCTTCGCTATCGTTGGTATAACTAGTCTTAAATAAATATTTAAAGTTTGAAAATTTAAAGTACAATTGTTTTAAATATAAAATATAATATATTAAAAAATTTTAATTTCACGTTTATTTTTTTTTTATACTGTATTTTAATTAAAACTTTTTATATATTACAGTATATATAATTATATTAAATATTTTTTGTATTTTTTGAATAAATAAATTTTATATTATAAAAAAAATTTTTTTTAATATTAATTAATTATTAAATTGACTATATTAAATTTTTATAGACTATAAATAAATATAATATAGATCACTAAAGTTAATTTTTTAACTAATTCATTTATTGATTTTAAATATAGCATTAAAAGTAAATTATTGTTTTATTAATAGTTTAAATAAAAATTTTTTCAACTATTAATATTACTATTTATAAATTATTAAAAGACTAGTAAAAAAAAACTCTTTTAATTAGGCATGGCTACTAAAAGATATTATATTGAAACAATATGATCCATTTCTTACTAGGTCATATAAAAATCTAAAATCCATTATAAGTTATTTTTCTATTACAGGTAAATAAAAAATCATTGCTCAAAGAAAGTTGGGATCAAGTGTATCCTGGAAGTTAATACTTTTACTAAGTAATAAGTCTTCTCAGATAATATATAGAAGAAAATTAAAATCAAAAATAGATAAGTTCCTTAGATAGTTAGAAGAAGAATGGATATTTCAATTGTGTATTTCTTATTGAGAAAGGTCTTAAGAAGCAAGTCTTTGGAGAAAGTTGAAAATCTTTTTTTCAAATTTTTACTTTTTTATATTCTTATTATCTATTTAAATATTTTTAGATATCGTTCTTTTTCTTTTTTTTTAATTTATTCTTTTGTAGTTTTTTATATTCTAGTGGCTTGAATCGACATACAGTAGTGACAACCTACTGGCAATAATACAATAAACTAGAAAGGTTTTTATCCAAAGATATTGTGAAGTGAAATATTATTCCAAGGCCAAATTTAGAGGTTTTTATACTTACAATAAGTTAGTTAGATAATAATTTAATTATAGTATATATTATACTACTGAATGAAAATATATTTATATTTTTAATTAATTAATAAACTAATATCTAGTCTAATTACGAGTATTTAAAAAAAATAAAAAAATCTAAAATATGTGATACTTTTGTTCATATAATATATTTTGCACTTTATAACAATCTGAATTTTTGTAAAAATATATATTTTTTATAGATTTTAT